TTTCATCACGAAATGACATCGATTAGAGAACCATTAAAAACCAGTGGGTGTTGGACACTTTTTCATCATTACAGTTCTAAACATTTCAGTAACTCAAATGCATGACCCTACTGGAGATCGATTGTTGCTGTTATAGATAAATAATAATAATGATTGCCAAAGACATTCTAAATTGGTAAAACCTTCCATATATTTATGCCTAGTACATTATTATTAATGATTATGGTTTCCTTTAATTCCTAGAAGAACATAGGGCTTCAGCTGCGCGTCCCCATTGCCTTCGGTTTTCTGCCAACTTTTACACCCCGCTTCAAATCTGCCCACATGATTTCACCTCCTCGTCACATGACCTCCTCCAAGTCACCCCACCCTTGCACTGACGACCAACTCGCCGCTTCCCTTTCGGGTTACACTCGAGCAATGGCTTGTCCCTGTTGCTGATCTTTTCTGGCCGGCCATCTGATTTTGAGTATTGAGTGAAGACAGCTGTTAATGAAGGTCTGTAGTTTGTTTGAGGTGCACTTCATGACGCGCCAAGTCTCTGATCCGCATAATAGTTTAACAACAGAAGACAACAGCCAGGCAACAGATCGTTTTATTACGAAAATCAACACGTATTTATATATATTTTCTGGACATTATTATAGCTTATGCAGGTAGGCAAGTGCAGTCTTCTGATTGGTTGTTTATCAGAAGTTAAGCAGACAAACGCAGGCTTCTGATTGGTTGTTTCAGGGTTCCTCGAAAAATAGAGTTCTCTACCTGCGAATCATATTTTGCCACGTTAAGTCTGCTGTGATTGGTTGTTGAATCAGCCTTGTACATATTTTCTCACGGCCTGCTCTCACCACAGTAGAACTGACTTCACATTGGAGTTGAAAATCCGGATCTCATTTTTTCATTCTGAGTGCTGTTGATCTATCTCCACACAGACTTGAGTGTAATAAAAGTTTGTCTTGCTTTCCCGATCCTTGCTTTGATATCCTCGTCAGTTCTATCGGCCTGTAGTTGAAACGATGCTTTCCAGGTAGGTAAGTAGGTTAAGGAGGTTACTTCCTTCAGATTTCTCCCATTTGTGCTGGCTGATTGTTGTCTGATGTTGTTGCTGTTGCTGTTGGACAGGAGTCCTCATCACCCCTGTTTACTCTATGTTCACCTGAAGGAAGTCCTATAATCTCTGGATGCTTCTTCTGCCAGCTTGTTGCTTTTCACTTGCATATCTTCCAGTTTGTGAGAAATCAGAAATAAATATATCATCAGCGAAGTCCAGTGTTTGACACCGTGTTCGGATAGAATTACCGTTCAAGTCGATGATTTTCACTAGGGAGCCTCATTGCATTGGTTAAGATGTCTAGTATAACATAAAAATCTGTACCGAAATGATTCCAAACAAAATGACACGTGTAATAAACAAATATTAGTGTAATGGAGGTGATAATTAAACGAAAATCAGGACGTTGAAGATAATAAAGAGAAAGTATACCTTCAGTATTTTGATTTATTTGAAAACACGTCTTTATGAATCATCAACAATTGATTCTTTGAATTTGTAGACAATTAACTGATGTCAGTAGTCAAAGGCTTCATGGCTTCTGACCATGGCTAATTGTGTAATCCCAGATACTACTGTCTATAGAGTAAGGCGATGGTCAAATCAGTGACCTTGACTTTCATATTCACTTGTTTGTTCATTATTTCTCACCACATCACTGAAGGTAACCTCTTCAAGTCTTCAACTTTCTACAGTCGAGTCTCTCATGTCCACACTAAAGTTCATGAAATCTTCTCATGAGTATAATTCAGTATTTAGCCAAGTTAACATGGCTTATAGTAGAAAATCAATATAGGTATTGATCAGGAGAGTGATAGAATTCAGTCTACACCAACACCAAGGACTAAACACATTACACTAGTTACTAACTAGTTTCCAATCAATGTATCCAATACAGTCGGTCCTACACGAGGTCAGTCGCTAGCCCTAAAAGCTCAGTAGTAGTAACGTCTTTGCCTATAGGAAGAACTATTATCATATGTGTAAAACTTGGGCACTAAGGTAGTAAGTAATTCCATATTAGTTTGTTTATTTGGCATATCACATAGTGAAACAGCATTATTACATACTGGATGAAGTTTGAGACAAAATTTATTGTTCATAATCATTTCATCAGTTATAATCACACGACTTCAAAACTTGGGTTTTATAGTTTTCTTTGTTCTCTCCTATTTGTCATCGTAGGGTTAGTAGAACTTTCCAGATATCCGAGGTTCAATCCTTGTATGGAATTACTACTGATGAATTTAAATTCCCTATTGTTGGTGTTGTCATTATCTTTTTTCACATGTTTGACGTGCATGTCGTCATTAATAATAATATTATTATTATTATCATCACTATCACTACTATCATTATTTATTTTATTTTTACATTTCCTTACATATCTCCTGACTAATTTATCTGGGTAATTATTGTGTTTCAAAGCTTCTCTTATATGCTTCACTTACTGTCTTAGATTTTCCTTGGTACTACTTAGTTTTTCTACTCTATTATTTAAACATTTCACCAATCCTATTTTCACTGACGTGGGACGGGATGACCAGAAGTCCAAATATTGGACCTGAGAAACCTTATGCAGAATTCTTAACAAGGCAGGGATAATAAGAGATGTGGAGAATAGTTCAGCTCCACTACTCACTACATGGAATGACACACAACCATAAAATAAGATGATGGAATAAGATGATAGTTTTAAAATCTAATGTCACGTTAGGTGGTTTCACAAGATAAGTAATGTTGATGTTAGGCGTAGAGTGTTGGGCAAAGAGGGAAAATCAATCGACGAGGCTATAAAGTTACATAGACTAAGATGGCTAGGTCACGTGCTGCGCATGCCTAACCACCGCCTCCCCCGACGGGCTTTGCTAGCTGATATAGGTGCAGGTTGGAAAAGAGCCAGTGGTGGCCAAACAAAAACATGGCCTCATCAATCCATGAAATCCTTGACAGTTAAACTGAGTCAGGTAGGGAAGGAGATGCAGACTTCCGGGTTGGGGCCCTCGGGACTGACTCTAGGAATCAATGGCTGGAGACAATAGGTGACATGGCTCAAAATCGTTGTCAATGGCCAGCGCAGATGTATTCAGTCTCTGTAATCTTTCATATTTCTTTCTATCATTACCCATTCTGTTTCACTATTATACTTGTCAAACTCTGTTAATTCTCTTCACTCATCTTCTTGTCTACCTCTGTGGGCTATTTGGAACGTGGCAACTCGAACTGGTGCACTTCGGTGCCAAGTTCTATGTTGAACCCAGACAGACAGACAGGACGGAGGGAAAGATTGATAACAATGGAAGCTTTGTTTATCGAATCAAATGAATGAAAATACGTGTGGCAGGAATGATTCAACACATGTCAAGCCAGATATCTGCAAAATTCTACTACCCCGATGACGACAAATAGGAGAGAAGAAAGAAAATTATAAAACTCAAATATCGAAGTCATGTGATTATAATTGATGATATGATTATGAATAATAATTGATAGTGTTCAACACCTTGTCATCCAGTAAATAATAATGTTTCCCTATGTGTAGTATATCTAATAAACAAACCAATATGGAATTATTGGCAGCACTGATTGGACTCAGGTTCTAGTCTCAGAAGGAGGATATGAGTTCCTTCAATGGGATTACAGATACGCCTTACTGATGGATGAGTGCCAACTAGTACGAAATATAGGTGAATCAAGGCTTCCTTTCGATTGACTCCACTTATCTAGTATCAAACTGTAATTCTATACGACGAAATATACTGTCGATACTGGTTGGAATATATTCATTAATAATGTTAATAATATTCACATGAAAGCTTCGTTTCTTACAATAATTGAACATATATTACAGGAATTTTCAGCTGCCTAGGGAAGTGCACTCTCTGGGGGGTGGGGTGGGGCCTTCGGGATGTTATGGATCAATGACTGAAGGCTTTTGATGACATGACTCAACATAATCTGCAATTGCTCATCGCACTGTCATTCATCGCACCACCAACTTTCCGATTCTAAACGTCCTCACTAATCTTTTATAAAATTATATTTGTAAAATCTCAGCGATATTGAAATGAGTAATTCCAACATTTCCTGTGTTCGGCAATCCGGTCCGAACTTCTTCAGGGAAATTAATCAAAATTAACTCAACAGAGGTTTATATATAAAAGGAACATCTCTTGTTTTTAAAAAAAAACTTTGTCCAATCATGAGCCAGGCAAAGTTTTAAAAACAAGAGATGTTCCTTTTATACATAAACCTCTGTTATGCTAATTTCGATTAATTTCCCTGAAGACGTTCCGACCGGATTGCCGAACACAGGAAATGTTGGAATTACTCATTTCAATATCGCTGAGATTTTACAAATATAATTTTTTACAAATGTCTACTTCTCACTCAGCGCTCAATTATTTTGCAACTATCCGGTCAAATCTTGATCACAGGTTCATATGAGTCCTCACTAATCCTTATCTAATCATCTTCAGTTGTGTTCACTGAAGTTTTAATACATTTATTCTCCCGACTTTTATATAGGTTTCTCTACAATATGCCGGATAGGAATGGTTTATTTCTGTGACAGGATTTCATCATGAACTGACGTCGGTTACAGAAACATTGGAAAACCAGTACTGGACTACTGGACAGCTGTTTTGTCAGCTTATCAACAGGTTTTGGAGCCCAGGACTTTCTGGCTGTGAGGCGCGCTCGTTGACCATTGAGAAGCCAGTGGAACCCTATCCAATGGTCAGGCCATGAATTCCAACTTCTGCCAGTTCACGACGTTTGTTCGAAGTTCTATGGCGATAATTTAGGCAGTCAGACACTTAGTCAGTCAACTAGTTTCTGTATCACCCAACTAAAATTTAGCAAAAAAAGTAAAAAATTGACTAATTGTTCACTTATTTTCTCCTTGTATCTTCAACTGTTTTTTTGTTCCATTTTGTTTTTTAAAAAGTATTGCATGACAAGGAGAAAGATGAGTTAACACGTCAGTGCATTACCCTTAGAGGAGAACGTGAATTAGCCCTGAGAGAAAGTTATCAAAAAGATGAACAACTAAAAGGATTAGAATATCAATTAACCAATCAAAAATCAAATATATGTGCTATGGAAATCCAGTTGGACATACTCAGAGCTAAAGTAAGTTCAGCATTACTATTACTACTACTACTACTACTACTCGTAATTCTGCTCTTACTCCCAGTTCTCCTCTTATGCCTATACTTACTCTTATTCATGCACCTGCTCCTTCTACTTATTTTTCTCTTATTACTATCCCTGTTTCTAATCGATTTCATCATTGAAGTACTGATAGAATTAACCCTAAGTAACTTCAGCGACTCATGGATCTACTTGTTACCAGGGAACAATCTCGTTGACCTAGAATATCCAGATGATATAGCGCTGGCACGTGGGTGAAGACGCTGACAAAATGCAGTCTTCTGAACTCTTTGAGCTGCAATCTAAGAATGTTTGGAATGCGATTCGCTCTCCAAATATAAGATAACAATGCTACAGGACTGGACTACACTGACTCCTAGTTTAGAAATAGGGAGTGAAGTGATGGCTGAGCGTGTGGAACACTTCACTTATTTGGGAAGTTGCATCAGCCAGTGCCAACGGGTTGATCTCTGACGAAATCTCAGCACGGATACAGAGGCCTAGTCTCTCATAGGCCAGTTTATGCCGTCTCTGGCGTAGACGTGATATCCGGCAGGGTATCGATCAAAGGATGGGTGTACTGCTCAGCAGTCCACTCCGTCCTCCTTTATGGTCAGTTGTGAGACCTGGTCATTGAGAGTGGGAGATATGGTAAGGCTGACTGTCTTTGATCACAGGTGCCTGAGTTTTACCTCCTGTGTGAAGTGGTATAATGGGGTGAGCGAAATTGAGGTTATGCGTCGAGTGCTATGTAAGGAGGGGAAATCAGTCGAAAAGGGTGTGAAGTTACATCGACTGAGTGAGATCATTAGGACATGTGTTACTCATTATTGCGTAGCCATCGCCTTCCTCAACTGACAATGTTAGCTGACATAGGGTCAGGTTAGAAAAGAGCCAGTGGCGTTCAAACCAAAACATGACTTCATCAGTCAATGAAATCCACAACAATTAGTTTAAGCCACGTAAGGAGATGTAGACTTCCTGGTTGGGGTCCTCGGGACGGTAAACACCAATGTCGGCTGGAGACAATTGGTTCTGTGGCTCAAAATTGTCGTCCTTAAAGGCTGCCACAGATGCATCCACTCCTTGTGACTTTTAACATACAATGACACTGTATTGTTCTTCGTTATTACTATTCCTTTTGTCTCACACCTCTGTTTAATGTCTCTGTTATGCATTACTTCTACTTTCTTCTCTTGCTTTGTGTGCTACATGAAGTGTGGCGACTTTACCTGCTGCACATTGGTCCCCAGCCCGATCAGGAAACTAAATCCCTATTTGAGGAAGAACTAGCTAAACGCATATCTGAGTTCGACAGCTGTGCTCACCCTGGAGAAGCCTGGAAGAATATTCAGTCAGCTATAGATACAGCTGTAAAAGCTGTGAATAAGGTAAATCCAAAGGTGAGTAAAAACCACTGGATTTCGACTGCCTCATCCGAACTGATAGATGCTAGAAGACTTATTCCGGCGAGCTCCGAATTCAATGAGGAGCGAAAGCTGCACAAAAGGAAACTTACGAAAAGTCTCCGCAAGGACCGTGAACAGTGGTGGGTGACAAAGGCGAAAGAGATGGAAAAAGCATCGGCGATAGGCAACACTAGGCAACTCTTTAGACTCATCAGGAAACGGGTGGGAGAAGGCAATTCATAAGTGAGACTATTTCTGAGAAAAATGGCTCCTTAATTAGCTCTCAGGAACGAACGCTTTGAGGAACAATTTAACTTGCCTACAGCCACACTGAACCTCCCCGCCATCCACCACACACCCGAATGGGATATAGACACTGGTCCGCCGTCTGTAAGTGAGGTCACAAAAGCTATCAGTAATTTGAAACGAGGCAAAGCGGCAGGACCCGACGGAATTATTCCGGAGGTGTTTAAATATGGGGGTGACATACTAGTTTGTAGATTAACTGAGGTACTAGGCAAAGTCTGGGAATCAGAGACAGTCCATCAGACTGGGGTAAGTCACTTATTATACCGATATTCAAGAAGGGAAACAAGTCCTCGTGTGATAATCATAGGGGGATCAGCCTAACGAACATAGTCTCTAAAATCCTAGGCTCAGTAATCATGCATAGACTAAGCAGAACTCGGGAGGAACAGACAAGGGAAAATCAAGCAGGCTTTAGACCAGGTAGAGGGTGCATAGATCATATCTTCACTCTTCGACAGATTCTAGAACATAGACACACTTTTCGGCGTCCAACAATTGTCATATTTCTTGACTTGAAGGCGGCCTTCGACTCCGTGGATCGAAAGGTACTATGGCAATGTCTGACTGTGAAGGGAGTGCCAAGAAAGTACATTGCACTAATCAAGGCACTCTATTCAAACTCACGTAGTCGTGTAAGGGCTTATGGGGAATTGTCATCTGAATTGGTAACAACCAGTGGTGTCCGACAGGGATGTCCACTTTCCCCATTTCTGTTTAACTTCATCATAGATATGCTAATGGAAGTATCCTTAACTGAACGTAATGACTTAGGAATCGACTTGTTACCAGGGAATAATCTTATGGACTTAGAATATGCAGATGACATAGTCCTGTTAGGGGAGGATGCTGACAAAATGCAGAGTCTTCTGAACACCTTGAGCAGCAATCTTCGTATGTTTGGCATGCGATTCGCCCCTGCAAAATGTAAGATGCTGCTACAGGACTGGACACGTCAACCCTAACTTAGTGATAGGGAGTGAAGTGATAGAACATGTTGACCACTTCACCTATTTGGGAAGTTGTATTAGCACCAACGGACTGATTGGCGATGAAATCTCAGCACGGATCCGAAAAGCTCGAGCTGCTTTCGCTGACTTACACCATCTCTGGCGTAGGCGTGACATCCGGTTATCAACCAAGGGACGTGTGTACTGCTCATCAGTTCGCTCCGTCCTTCTCTATGGCTCTGAAACATGGCCAATACGCGTTGAAGACATGAAAAGGTTGACTGCTTTCGATCATAGATGTCTGCGATCTCTGTCTCACGTTAGGTGGTTTAATAGGGTAAGTAATGTTGACGTTAGGCGTAGAGTGTTGGGCAAAGAGGGAAAATCAATCGACGAGGCTATAAAGTTACATAGACTAAGATGGCTAGGTCACGTGCTGCGCATGCCTAACCACCGCCTCCCCGACGGGCATTACTAGCTGATATAGGTTCAGGTTGGAAAAGAGCCAGTGGTGGCCAAACAAAAACATGGCCTCATCAATCCATGAAATCCTTGACAGTTAAACTGAGTCAGGTAGGGAGATGCAGACTCCCGGGTTGGGGCCCTCGGGACTCTAGGAATCAATGGCTGGAGACAATAGGTGACATGGCTCAAAATCGTTGTCAATGGCCAGCGCAGATGTATTCAGTCTCTGTAATCTTTCATATTCCTTTCTACCATTACCCATTCTGTTTCACTCTTATACTTGTCAAACTCTATTAATTCTCTCCACTCATCTTCTTGTCTACCTTTGTGTGCTATTTGGAACGTGGCAACTCGAACTGCTGCACTTCGGTGCCAAGTTCTATGTTGAATCCAGACAGACAGACATCGGTGCAAAGTTCTATGTTGAAAATAGAGAGACATTACTATAGTGGTGTGTGCTGCTGACGAGGCCTATCAGCGGTATATATCAGACATTCATTAGCACAAATATATCTTCCTTTAACATCTCACTCACTTGTTGTTCAACTTCTCCATCTAAATGGCATAGAACCCTTCACGTTGTGAATGTTATCACTCATCGACCCGTCACAGTGATTTCATGCCTCATCTGGTCACAATAATCGTACTGGTCTCCATCGCTCATGGCTAAATGTTCGTATTTTCTAACTAACATGTCTAGTATTGTGCATCATCAGCGTCTTCATCCCTGCTATCTCACTGTTCCCATGCATGCTGATAGATAATTAGTTTGTAGTTACTGTCTTTCCCTTTGTGTTAGTTACGGAACTTACGTCTCGCAGGAAATCAGCCCCCAGGGTTATTTACCGTAACTGCGGCACAAAAATGAACAGGAAGGTCACTTTGTGACTGCTGATGTGAACGTTGCAGTTGGACATGTCTGTGACTCTTAACACATGACCTCCTATAGTCTGGACTGCAAATGAGCACGGTCTGACATATATTAGCATCTGTAAGTTAGACTATCACCCCCCGTATCTACTAAAAATACAACGTCTTTATTATTTACTCGCATCCTAGAATACACTGCTCCACTCTTGATCGCCCCTATTACTTCTAGTCTTATTGCAGTAAAAGAAGACACATTAAATTGTTTAAGGTTTTTCTTTTCCTGTCTTTCCGGGCAATATTTCCTCTAGTATCCCTTTCTGCCACATCCAAAGCGCTTTTCTCTTCTGACGCTCATTCTTATTACCACTATTGCCTGCTTCAAACCTGTGATTTCTTGCTCGCGCTAGTCTTTTTTCGGTGCCTCTGTTGCGGTCACCGTTGTGCTATACAGCTGTCTAGTCTACAGGTTATGCAGAGTTAACCAGTTATAGTTGCTGAGGAGTGTTTTATGGAACACTCTCAGTTCAACTAGGAGGTCGGTAAATATGACCCTGATTCTTCGTTCAGTATGGGGGGGATGAACAACGAGGTGGATTTTTCAGCTTCACCGCAAACACTAACGGGTTTCTGTCAGGTCCAAGCTTCGTGGCAAGGAATGTTTGCATTTCAAGCCCCCTATTCGTCGAGCTGCCAACCTTCGTCACCAAACGTTCAACCAATACCTTCTAGGTCACTTTATCAACTAACCACTCTATACCGTCGTACGAAGCCTCTTCCCGACTCCTTAACAGAATCCTTGGCACCGTCGCCTTCACTGTCAGATCACTGACTCCCACCAACTTAGCGACAGCATAGAAGTCACGTAAGAAACTCCTTATGTGTCCTTCTTTCCAGAGAGGCAGGCAATCGGGTCTTCATTGTCTGGGGCGGCGACACTAAGTGTAATGAGAGAAGACAAGAGACTTGGTAATGGAATTCGATATAAACATATAAGGAAATTATGTACACCTTATATGAAAATCCTAATTTGTACAGATCTTCCCTGTTGTGCTTGGCACTTCTGTCCTTCGTATTCTGTGTTTCTTTGTCTTCGATTTAAGTCTTCCATGTTTTGCTGGAACACTGGTTCATTTGTTTTCCTTGATGTCAAAACTATGTCTCTGATATTTGATATTTTTATGCTGATGAAAGTCACTAGTATACGCCACACCACTACTACCAGTAGTAATAAAAATGAAAACGGAGTTTATTTTCGTTTTCTTTCAGCCTAACTTGGTTTAAGATTTGTGACAAATGTATTTCAATATTTTATAATGCTTACTAAACTCATTAAGCGAAAGCAGATGCCAGAAGTAAAGGAGATACCAGCTAAGGGAAGGCGTTAACTCAGCTTTTAAATTCATTTCCAACCTAATAAAGCAATACAGTGATATTTCCAATACGACATATTATGGCAGTTATCAGAAAAGTGAATATTTTTTCTCAAGTTTTCACGGGACTAGGAAGCTGAAGTTGATGTACTATTTTGTTATTATGTGAATTTTTCCGTTGCTTATTGTTAATCCCTTTTCATCTTCCTTTAAGTTGTTAAGGGATTAATACTAGATAATGATTCCTCGAGTGCGTAGGTTTCAGAGTGGTAGAATGCTGTCCGACCACACTGCATGTGGTCCGGGGTTCGATTCCTAGCCACGGACGCACTCCTTTACCTCACTAAGCCAGTAATAAGACGACTAGTAAAGAGGGAAGGCTGTGCATGAGGCTGGCTAGCAACCCCATTCTGCAAAAAATAAACACCACTGCCAGAGAAACTTCAGAGCCAAAGAAGCTTGAAGCCCTGTGTTCCACTAGGAACGTGAAGGAATAAGAAAAGTGATTTTTCAAACTTTTATGAACAAACTTATACTCGAGTGGAAGCATACACTTCATTGTAATTACCAAATATTTTTTAGTTGCTTCAGGGTAAAATATCATCTCTAATGTGTTTCATTGTTATTGTTTTACTGTTATATTTCCCTCTAAGTATATAACAACTTTCTGATGTATAGTACACAACGCGACCTGTAATCCAACGAATGGTCATTAGTGTACTGGTACTTCATGGTCGCTATCCTTTATGTTTTTTTGACTGTTGTCTGTCCTGAAATACAAGCCAACCACTTATGCCTTCTTTAGGAAACTTATGATATTTGGTTGAAGGTGAATTTAAACAAAAAAAGGGGTGGAAGTACAATTCAATACCCAAGGATATAACTGAGTGATTATTAGACTGCAGACAGTGACAGTTTGCACTAAAAATGTCAAGAACACTTATCTCATCTACTGTGTTACGTCGCCATCTACTATTATTCTTTTTCTCTAGTATAAAAAAACTGATAAATTAACAGGTTGTAGATATTTTAAATACCCGCGAAAGTGTAAAATACCACTGAAGGTCATAGTTTGATAGATTAAAACAAGCTGAACAAGAAATATTATTTGCACATAATGATGATATAGGGTTTTTTAGTAGCTGAACAAAGGACATTCTTTTCGATAACCCCTTCATCATCAGGATCCACAGTTATATATACACTACAGTGGATGATTGAAATAGTGTTGTGAACAACATTAATGTTGTTTAAATAACATCAAATCAATAATAATACAAATGGATTACAGTTCAATAGAATCAACTTAACAATAAACTGAATGTCAGAAAAATTAGGAAAAATAATTATACAAATTCATGAATTTATAGTCTCTACTGAAGGCCGGCCAGGGCAGTTGTAGTGGCTGGTTGAACTTGCTTCTTCTGCACACAAAGCACTGGTTGTTTCACGCGAATCAAGATAGCCTCTGCTGTTTGGAGTATGCGGTAACTAGATGTTTTTGGAAATTTATCTGATACCCAATAGACGATAGAGAAGGATCCTTCAATGCTGGCTGGCTTTGTGGCCGGTTTGGACCGGGTGATCTAATATCGAACAATTGATAGTTTTTACTACACCTTTACATTTTTAGCCACACTGGAAGATATTCCTGAGTGAGCACGAAAAATCAAGTTCCTAGAGCAACAACCATTATAACTCGCTCCACCACAAGTGCAGTTGAATCGGTAGATACAATTGGAAGGGGTTAGTCTAGTCTACGTACTTCATCTTTCAGTCGAGGAGTCACCATCGGTCGTGTAGAGAATAAGAAGTGTAGTTCAGCAGGATTAAAAGTTCTTTGAACTGATTTTCTTAATTTCCTCGTAATTATCTCACTTGGTATATTGCCCTTGAATTGCAGTCTTATATAAAGAGGCTTCTTGTTGACGGATGGTGAGTGAGTAGTCCTTTTCCGCTTTCTTTATCATGTGTTTCTTGATAAATTTGTCTGGACAGATATTTCCAATCAAGGTATCATATACATTTCTTAGTTGATCTTCACTTACTTCTTCTGAGCACATAACTTTAACCCTGTGGTTGAGGGTCTTTATTAAATTTCATTTGTACTGGAGAGGAATGAAGGTGTGAAAATGTGTCTACTTTCATGTCCATATGTTTTCGGTTACCTAAATTCTAAGCATACCGCCTTACTTAACATAGTGATGCAGTTTTACCCTTCACAGCTAACTCAATAACCTTAAGCTGGTTGAAATATAACTTTGATTATTTTTATTTATTTATTAACATTTATGGTTTCTCATCTTTAGTTAGATGATGAAACAAAGCGGGCCAATGAATTAGAAAGATCACTTATTGATAGTCGTAAAGAATTGTCTGAATTCAATACAATTTTAAGACATATGGAATCTCACTATCAACAAGAATTTAATCGATTAAAATCAAGGCCACAAGATGAATTCAAGGTAAGTATTGATTGGTGAATAAAGTGAATATGAATGTCTTCGTTTTATTGTCATTATCATCATCAACAGAAGCAGACTTTAAAAGATTTCATCTTATGAGTAAATAAGGAGTTTATATGGCGTTTTGTGGAAATGAAATGGTTTTTTTAGAGATCCACATGGAGGAGATCGTGTGAAGAGGAGTTGAAAGAATATGGACTAACATGGATGCAGGCGAAAAGTATTGCAGAAGACAGAAGAAAATGGAGACGTGCAGTTGAAGCCCTATGTTCCACTAGGAACCCGAGGGAGCAATAAATAAATAAATAAAAAAATAATGAGTGAAAAAGACAGAACGATATTGTTGTTTTTACAGACCTTTCTCCACTTAATGTTAATAGCTTTATCAAAGTAGTAATTTTTATTTCCTTCACGTTCCCAGTGGAACATAGGGCTTCAAGCTAGTGGCTTGAAGTTTCTGTAGCAGTGTTTAATTTTGCAGGATGGGGTTGCTAGACTCATGCACAACCTTTCCTCTCTACCAGCATTATTTCTGGCTTATCGAGGGAAAGGAGTGAGTCTGTGGCCGGTGATCGAATCCCGGACCATGTGCACGGTCGGCGAGCGTCCTAATCGCTGTGCCTCCGACGTACCAAAGTGGTAATAATAAACCAGAATTTACGAAATCTCTTATATATAATGCAACAAATTAGTCAGCGTTCCTCAGTATGGGGTAATTTTTCCGTTGTGAAGTTGGCCAATTGGTAAAGATAACAAAACCAGGTGTAGATTACCGTGGGATTTGATAAATGTGCAAAATTATAAAATCAGTATGTTTTTACATGATGAAATTGCTCATCACATTCGTGTTCATTTTGTCACTTCATGGGGGACGGCAAAGTGTTGTTACCAGGTTGAATTGTGTTTCAGTTCACCATTCCTATTTAGAAAATTTAGATTCCACTTGACGATATGAAGTGCTTCGGATGATATTAGACGTTCTTTGTGATTTCTAAAATGCTTTTCCTGGATAATGATTTCAATATTGTCAAAATCAATTTTGTGGCCTAATTCTATAGCGTAGCGTGTAGACGACTTATGGCTGATCATTTTGCAAGCTTTTCTAGTTTAACTGGATTTCTCAGTGGTCGAACAGAGGCTTCTCTACGGTGTTCATTTCATCTTATTTTGATTTGCGTCTAACGATGTCTGTCCGGCTAATATCGCATCATATTCCAAGCATTTTATTTTATTATTATTCAATTAGACTGAAAATCCTTAGGGATTTGGTCTTTTGCATAGACAAAGTCGCCTTGCATTGAGTAGTGAAGTGTCATTAAAAAAACATTTTGGTTTTTGTTTTTCGCTCATTGGGAAATACAAAATTTTTAAAATAATGAGGTTCAGCTTACAGTAGGGTGCAGCTGGTCGGGTGTGAGGACAAATACTCGCCGAAGACATTGGCTAGCGGTCACGCTATTTCGTGAATTGGCAGAAGTTAGAATTCAAGAACCATTGGATCGGGTCCCAGTGGCTTATTGATATACAAGTTCGCCTTTTAACCGGAAGTTCCTGGGTTCGAATCCCGGTGGGTGGGTACTGCTGAAGAGTCCCAAACTAGGACGAAACAGCTGTCCAGTACTCCCAGGTTTTCCAATGGTTCTCTAACTAATGTCAGCTCATGATGAAATCCTGAAACCAATCAAATCCCTACAAACCAACACTTGATTACAGTTTATTACTTGAGATAACCAGGAAAAGTGTAAGGTACATTAGGCATCGTCCTTCCTCATAGACACTGTCAGCTTGCTTGGAATTAGCCTTGACCATAATCTCTCATCTCCTCATCGCCACACATTCTCCTCAATGTCACTTTTGCACTGACGACCCACTCGTCGTTCCTCATTTGGTTTCCACTCGAATGATAGCCAGTATTGTGCATGATTTCATTCGACGGCCTCTTCAACTTATACCCGATCCATCTCCATTTTTTCCTACATATTTATTGAACAATTGACTCTTGGTTCGTTTACATCACTATAGAGTTTCTTCTCGCTAATTCTTTCTCACTGGCTATTTGTTCTTCAATATAGAGCCAGTGGAGGTGGCAGCTGTTGATGAAAGTCTGTAATCTGTTGGAAATCCTTTCTTTGAGACGCATTGTAAGTTTCTGACCCGTATAGAAGAACCGATTTGGCACTGGTGTTGAAAATGTGAATCTTGTTCCTTATGCTGAGTGGGAAAGATTTCCAAGCTGTTTTCAAACTGATTAAGGTGTATCTTTAGCCTTTCCAAGTCTGGCCAGCTTTGACAATTTCATCTGTGCTGTATATGCCTGTGTATGAAACAATGCTGCCTAGCCGGATAAGTGAAGGAATCTACCTCTTTCGAAATTCTCCCATTTATAATGAGATTAGTGCTGTTGGTTTGATTGGTAACTCTTCGTTAAGTTCAACCACGCTCAGCGCTGATTAATCCGACTACAAATAAACAAAAAAGTCACTTTGGTGTTTGATCAAGCTATTAATAGCTACTTTTTGATGTGAATCGTTTCTAACTACTCATATCTTTCAGTAGTATCATACATAGCTTCTTGCTTGTTTTGATAACTAAATTTTAAAAAAATATTTTTAATCTAATTTGTTCACAACAGTTTTGTAATATTCATTCTCAGTGGTTTGGAAAATACTTTGCTCTTCCTCAGTCGAATAATCCTCGTGTATATCTGGTGATTCTTCAGAATTCAATAATTGACTTACCAAGCGAATGAGTAAAGTAAAGTCACAATTACCTATCGCATGGAAAACTTCTAAAAGAAATATTAAATGGTTGATAAGAATTTTTGTTCCATTACAATATATTTAAGAGCCACCAGTCATTAAAGGATACATATACTGAAATGATTTGAAGAAAACTCTCTGGACACGAAGTGTTCAAAGCCAACACTTATCCTCGTAAAGTTACCATAGCCTATTTAGGAATTATAAAGAACCAAAAGAACATTATTGTTTCAATTAATTCCTAGAGGAACATAGGGTCTCAGCTAAACGTCTCCGTTGCGTTCGGTTTTCTGCTAACGTTTTCACATGTCTCCAAGTCTGCCCACATGCTTTCATCTCCTCTTCACATCACCTCCTCCTCCATGTCACCCTCGAACTGACAACCAATTCACCACTTCCCATTCGGGTCCCACTCGAGTGGTGGCCTGGTGTATGATATCGCTTGATTGTTTGTTTTTCAGAGTATGGCCAGCCGATTCACCTCGATTTCTTCCTACGTATTTGTTGCACAATTGTTTCCTGCTGGGTTGGTTCGCCCATTGCCAGAGATTACTTACTATTGCTGATCTTTTTCTGGCCGGCCATTAGATCTTCAATCAAGTATTGAGCGAAGACATCTGTTGATGAAGGTGTGTAGTTTTTTCGAAGTGGCCTCCTGACGCGGCGCGGTGTCAAGTCTCTGATCCGTTTAGTAGCACTGATTTTAAAAAAACATTACCTTACCAAATTCATCAAGCACATTTCAGATACGTTTATGAGATTACTTTTGACGTGAAGGTTATAAATCAATGAAAACACTACAGAACATACAATCTAGACTGAAAGGTTCATTGCCAAAAAGATATGAGATAATTTGTTTATATGAGAACAGAATTTGATCACAGAGTGTAAGACCATTACAAGGAAAATTTTGTTTTGATAAAAGTGTTAACTTAAAAAGTTACACATAAAAGTCGTTCACAGTCTTGTGTTAACAAGTAAAGATTTCAAATTCGCACAATGATATAACAGCGTTCGGTTGGTTGAAAATGAAACGTCATACAGTCAGTAATACAAAACCTCAGAATAATTTTCAAAAAAACACCAAAGTAATGTTAGAGTTTTCTAGAGTTCAAATTGGGAGCTAGAACAAATATTCACCACCGATAACATTGGCTGATGCCAGTCACTCTAAAATCACGAACTGGTTGGAGTTAGAATTCATGGCTGGCCACTGAGTTGGTTGCCAGTGGCTGAATGGTGTACGAGCTTGCCTGTTAACTGGAAGGTCCTGGATTCGAGCCCTGGCGGTGGGTGCGCACTGACGATGAGTTCCAAACTAGGACGAAACAACTGTCCAGTATTTCTTGATGGTTTTCAATGTTTCTATTACTGATATCAATCTGTGATCAAACTTAAAAAACGAAAATCAAATTCCTACAAACCAACTCTTGAAGATATCGGAGTAATCAAAACAAAGTTTTGAGAAGACTAGTGTAGCGTGTGTGATATTGTAACAACAGAAGACAAGGGCCAGGCAACAGATCGTTTTATTATGAAAATCAACACGTATTTATACATATTTCACATACATTATTATAGCTTATGCAAGTAGACAAGCGCAGTCATCTGATTGGTTGTTTATCAGAAGTTAGGCAGACAAACGCAGGCTTCTGATTGGTTGTTTCGGGATTCCTCGACAAATAGAGTTCTCTATCTGCGAATCATATTTCGCCACGTTAAGTCTGCTGTGATTGGTTGTTGACTCAGCCTTGCTCATATTTTCTCATGGCCTGCTCTCACCACAATATGTCTGTCTGTGATGTGTACCCACATGATGTGTGTTTTTGACAGTCTGTTATATTTTGCTGTGTGTATATGGATCGATATTCCATTATAACTGACAATATGCTTTTGTCTGTCCACTAGCTAAATAAACATGTATGACCTTGTTGTCGTCACATGACATTACAACCAATCATGTTAAGACTGTCTATTTATTGGTTCAAGTGCATCAATCATTTTGATATATAATTTTGTACTGTATACTTGTTCATACTTGTTCCCACGTTTCGTACACTACGTACCATTTCACTCACACTCTTGTGTGACATTCATTTTCCTTGTCTGGAAAATACAAGTATCATCGTAAACCTGGTGGTCTTCTGATTTCCCTCTTTCCGTGTCAGGACTATTAACTACTCGACGAGTACATAACATAATTGGCGAGGGGAAAACTACGATTAACCACTCAGCAGCAGTACATAACAGTCTGTCTGTCTGTCTGTCTGTTTTCGACATAGAACTTTGCATATATGTGCAGCAGTTCAAGTCGCCACACTCCCTCCATATAGCACACAAAGCAAGAGAAGAAAGTAGAAGAAATGCATAATAGAGAGAGAGACAGTAAACAGAGGTGTGAGACAAAGTAATAGTAGTAACGAAGAACAAAACAGTTTCATTGGAAATCATAAGCTAAGATTTATCAGTAGTATGTGAGGAGACGTTTATAGGCACAGAAATGTCAAATAGCAGTGAGATTGATTTCACGTCAGAGGAAGAAAATGATACGGCGTTGCGGGGATACTTGGGTGACGAAGTGAGAGGAACACAATGACAGATAATATGCATAAGGTGTACATAGTTTGGCTATGTAGAAATACAGAATTTCACCAGTAATCTCATGAAACTATAATCAACAAAGATAGAGAAAAGAGTGAAAAGAAAGATTTAGGGAGAAACGTATTCCCTAAGAAAATAGAGAAATGACCAAATCGGTGCATGAAAGAATGATGATAGTAGCGGTAACAAATAACATAATTTATCGATACCGAAACAAATATTGGCTAGTGTAGTACTTTTCGCACTTGCTACAATTTATTCTGTAGATGATGGTGTTGGTTTTATCTTCTTTCGTTGTTGAGTCTTTTGGTTGACATAGAACTGAGTGAAGTGAATTTGTTTGTTTGTGTGTGACATTAATTCCTGAAGGTTTGAAGAGTCAATCTTGCAGTGTTATCTGAGATATCCTTTACATATGGTTAGGCGATTTTCTTTGTGCTTCCCTTGGTGGCTTTTGCTTTGGTGGGTTGGCTTGGGGGTATATGTCTTTTGATGAAATTCCGTTGATATCCATTCTTTTGGAAGACGTCCATGAGGTTCGCAAATAAACCATCCAGCTCAGAGAACACAACCACATGAAAATCATCCACCTGAGATACAAATCTTCCCTATCAAACAAATATTTGAAATGTAAAAGCATCAGAGGTATACCATTTTAGGCGGGCTTTTTATCATTTTTCAAATGACTCTGATAAGTCATTTAAGATATTCTGGCAAGTGTTGACATTCTCCTGGTATTATATAATCCGTTTCCTTGAGGCTAGAATGAGTAGTGTTCATTAACACCTTTTGAAAGGATTTGTATACAACATTTAGTATACCAAGTTATATGAAAGCAGGTAAACCGTTATATTATTATTGTTCCCTTGGGTTCCTACTAAAACACAGGGCTTCAGCTGCACGTCTCCACTTGCCACTTCTGTCTTCCTTCCGCTGTACTTTTCACCTGCATCCATCCATGTTAGTCCATACTGTTTCAACTCCTCTTCACACAACCTCCTCCATGTCACCCACTCTTGGACATCACAGTCGCCGCTTCCCCTTCAGGTTCCACTCGAGCAATGACCTGACGCGCGCGCGATGTTACCCAGCGGCCTCCTCAGCGAGTGTCCATTCCATCCCCACTTTTTCGTGCATATTTGTTGGTCGGCGATTGCTTCTTGTTTTGTTTGTTTGTTCCAGCCATAGTTTCTTGTTGGTGATTCTTTCCGAACCCGCCATCTGATCTTCAGTATAGATCCAGCGAAGACAGTTAGTTGTTGATAAAGGTCTGCAACAGGCTATTGGAAATATTCTTTAAGACCAGCCCGCCCGCCCGCCAAGTTCCTGATCCGTATAGAAGAACTGACTGACTTGACGTTGTTTGTATTGAAAATCCACCGAATTTTGTTGTTGATGCTGACTGAGTGACGAAGATTTCCAGATTGATTTCAGGTTGATGAGTGAATGTGTTTCTCGCTCGCCTTCCCGATTCTCGCTCGATTTGACATACTCGTCCGTTCTGACTTCCTGTAGTTGAGACATTGCTCCCTAGATAAGTGAATGAATGAAGTAACCTCTTTCAAATTCCTCCCGTTGATGGTGATTGGCGACATCGTACATTTTACGAACGTTCTACGTCCCCCTCCTTAATTTTGCTTTCATCGAAAGAAGGAACATCGGTTGGCTGGCTTCCCGAAGGCTCTCGCCAGCCTGCGTCATTTCACTTCCCCGATTCCAGCGAAAAATAAAGTTATTGTTTATATTTTTAGAATTTTTAATATATTTGTGCATTGAAGTTTCTGTAGCGATTTGGTTAGGTTTTACTGGTGGAGTTGCTAGTACCACGCCCCAATCCTCCCTCCTTATCCGGACTTGGGGCCGGCTAGAAAACTAGCGAGCTAGTAATCTAGGCGGGTTAAGCCGATGTATACATAGTGAATTAGTTATTTGCGAGACTGTCTCCTTCAAACGGCTTGAAATCAGTAGACACTTACAGTACACTACCCTAATAGCTATTGTGAAGATAACTGTCGTAAAGATATTGTCTTGAAGTCTAGCAGGGCAGGCATTGAGAGAGTCAGATGGCTTTAACATACTGTGAATGTTGCTCAGTCTATCTAGTCAACATGTTACATTTTACTTTATTTTTCTTCTTTTCTCTATATCAATGAACAAAACAGGATAAAGTACGTCATCTTGAACAGAAGCTAAGTTATGCCTTTTTAAAATCAGAAAATGATCAATATATCAAAGATAAACAAATCGATAGAAATGATTTACTCTTGAAGGAGAATGTATACTTAAGTAATGAATTAGAAAAGTTAAGAAAAATGGCCGAAGAAGTAAGTTAATTTAATTGCTACATTTTGATTTTTTAAATAATAATAATAATAGTAACAGTTGTAAAAGCAGGACTCCATGGTATCTGACTTTCCCTCATTCCATGCCTTCCAAGTGGAACATAGGGCGCCAAACTTTGAGGTATCATTCGAAGTAAAGCTCTTCTACCTGATAGGGATGCTAACCTCACTCCCTACCCTTCCTGTTTTCCGGTTGGTAAACTAGACTACTTTTAGGAATCTACCGGGCAGTCTGTGTAGTTAAAAAACACTCTGTCACAGAACCAATTACTTAGAAATCGGTATTTGGTATGTTAGCGGAATGGCTGATTTAACGAAATGATGTCCAGTAATAGTAAACTATATTTTTAATTAGACACTAGTGAGTGACTAGTGTAATGTGTTTAGTCCAATCAAAAATATCCGAAACAGTCTTACGGGAGGTCAATCGCGACTCTGAATAGCTCAGTAGTGGTAACGTCTATGACTGCAGGCAGCACCGAGTGACGCCGGTTCAGATCTCAGGAGGGGCATGAGTTCCTTCAAGGTAACTGGAGACACGCCTTTCTGATGAGTGCCAGCTATCACGAAACCTAGGTGATGCATGGCTCCCTGTGGCCGATTGCCTCCAAACATCCAGTGCCACTAGCGAAATATAAAAATCTTACGATGGAACTTGAATTCTGTATGACTTATTCGCATTTCTATGCTATTTATATTCTGCTTCACAAGTATGTTCATTCCCCCCTCGCTTTACAGGTTAATTCTTCACTTTTGTTATTCAAGATTCTTGCAGAAGACATCATACATAATATGCTACTTAAAAATTCATGTCAGTAGTACACACGGCATAGTCACATTTTTATTTCATTTTAAACGTGTACTTTAACATGATTAATCTTAAAATAATGAAGAATATTTGCAGCTCAGGTGTATGATTTGCAATCATATCTGTTCTGTGAGCTGGTTGGTTTAATTGAAGAGCTTTCGTCGTTCTTCTAGACAACATCTTCAGCGCAGATTTTAGCATAAAATAAACTGATTTAAATTCTCCCTTTATGAATGATAGAACTGTGTCTCCTGACAGCAACCATCTTTGTGACTGGCAGTCGGTTTTACATCTGTATTGATCATTTTTTATTGACTTAATGCTCAGAAGCCTCAAAGTGGAAAGAAGAAGGTGAACAGTACACAAGTAATGACAAATGAATAATCTTAAGTGGATTGATAATGTTTAAATTAAGGCACACATCAATCTCGAAAGGATTTAAATTCGACCCCAGTGTATAGTATTTTTGGTGAGTGATTTTTTTTATTATTTTCTAACTCATTTGCGTTCTCAGTGGGACATAGGCCCCCAATCTTTCAACCATGAAGTCCCGGTAATGATGGTGTAATCTTCAAGGAGTACGATTGCAAGCCTCACACTCAACCGTTCGTCTTTACCAGGATTACTATCGGCTAGGAGAGGTTTAGTTGTGTGTCAACCGGGAATCGAAACCCAACCACTTGCATATTATATCAGCATTCCACCCCTGAACCACCAATGCTCATATAATTCATATAAGAATAAAACTTCGGTACTGTGGTAGAGTATAACTCCATTATAGATAAGATTTTATGTTGATAAATCACACAGTGTTGCACAGTAATATTTACTGATGACGTTTCGAGCACAAACTACTGGTGTTAAATAACTATCCCATAAAGTTCATTAGGAATATCAAGAAAGGTCAGACGAAAAATAAAAATAGTGGTGAAACTAAAAATGATAATATAAAAAAAGAGAATATAAGGCATCTACTGTTATACCATATAAGGAAGGGACATCTTGAGCCCTAAGTAGGATTCTCAAAAAAGCAGGAATTAGGGTGGGGGGCATTTAAAACTTCTAAGTCACCCGAGTGGGACAAGCTGTATGGGTTAAAGGACCCTGTTGGTGGACCCAATTAGACAAAATAATATAATTTACAAAATACCCTGGAATTACTGTGAGGTCAACTACATAGGTCAAACTAGTAGATCAGGAGTAGTGAGATTATCAGAACACAAGAATTTAACTAAGGTTAGATTGATTGACCCCACTTGCGAAGATAAGTAATTTAGAGGAAAACTCAGCAATCGCTCTGCATGCATTTGCATAAAACCGCACAATAGGGTTGGGCAGAGTCAAAATTCTAAAAGTAGGTGGAGATAGGGAGAGGTTGATTACTGAATTCTGACTGGTTCATCGAGTCTACACCTAACACACGCAACAGAAATGACTCAAGGCGGCAAATACCAGGGATGTGGAAGATATTACTACCACGAGTCAGTTAAATCAGAGGAGGATAATAAATAGTGTTAAAATGTATTTAATTCACATTATAACAGTCTAACAAGTTACTTATTTGGACTATAAAAACACTCATCTTATTTCTCATCTGATTGTATTTGATTGATAACACTCATATTATTATTTCTGAATGTACATATTATGTACTCGTCGCCAAATTATTGTTATGTACTGGTCAAGAATTTAATAGTCCTGATGCAAGAAAGACGGAAATCAAAAGACCACTAGGTTTGCGATGATACTTCTATTTTCCAAACACAAGGAGAATCAATATCACACAAGAGTGTGAGAGCAAAAATATATGAATGTCCGAACAAGTGTGTGGGCGAATATCCAAAATGAACAAATCAATAGACAGTCTTAACATGAGTGGCTAATTATAATGGAATATCGATCCATATATACCTAGCAAATATAACAGACATGTCAAACAAACACACATATTATATATAATATAGGGGGAATATACATTGTTAAAGGAGACAGGTTCATCAAAGTGAAATGGTCACAGACTAAGAGAGCAACAGAAAGAGAGACCACCATATATATATATATATATATATATATATATATATATATATATATATATATATATATATATATATATGGATACATATCAGTACATTATCCCATATTGGTTTTTATTTAAATGTCTAATCATCATTTCCACTCATGTATATAAATGAAGCAATAAAGTTGTGTGAGTGAGTACCTTGATATGATTATGAGAAGTAACAGTTTGTGATCGAAACGTGGTCATCATTTAACATTATTGTACAACACATCAAAATAAAATCTTATCTATAATGGAATGGTCATATTATTTGTTAAGATTCTGCTTAGAAATAAGGATGAAACAGAAACTTCATTTCTACATGTACTACTGAAATATTGTCGAAACTTTCGTAAGAATTATCCTTCATGACAAAAATAGATGATAATTTTGCCATTTGAAAAAATTCCAATTACCACATCCCATTTTAGGGATGCTGCTGCTGTTTGTCTGCCTCATGCTCAACCTTTCTTCTACTGGCTTAAAGAGGTTAAGAAATGCTTCCGTGACCGAGGATTGAACGCCGAACTACATGCGTGGTCTGTGGACATTCTACTGCTGAGCCACCGACGCACACAACGACTAGTTCAGCTTCAAAACTCAAAGCATGAAGCCCTATGTCCCACTAGGGACCAAATGGAATGAAAAAATTCACCAGTATTAATAAAAATCAACTTAAGACCAAACAGTGTTAGCCAGTTATAAATGTAGGCGTATTCTGCTGTTCCTGAGCTTCCATACACTCTCAACGGGTTATTATAAACCAAAGTATCACAATGGTTTTATAGTGACAACCTAGGATTGTTTTCATTATTGGTAGGATTCAGTCAGCACCAGTGCGGAACACTAAGCACATAACATTGGTTACTGCCCTGGGACCAGCCCACATACCCATTACAATCAAACAGTAGGCCAATCGTTTGACCACGGATTGATATCATACAATGACTCTCTCTTATAAATTTGAACAAAGAAAGAAGAAACATTGACGCGCAGAATAATCTGGATCCATTTTATTTCGTTGGTTCTCATCAGCTGCGTACAACTTGAATTTTTTAATAAAATAAAAATAAAAAGTGTACAATTTTTAACAAACCTTTGTCCCCTCCCCCTTTATTTTTCGCTTGACTCTCTTAAGGGAGATAATTTTTCTTGATCTTCTGAGTTCTGCTCAGTGTATTACATCACCAACTTCTCATCTGACCTCATGTGCACTGAAATTTTAAAACTGTGATCGTCTTTATCTAATTACGTAACTATTGCAAATTGTCTTTTGTTACCACGCCAACAACACAACTGTTAGATAATTTCTTTTCAAGGAACTTCTCTCTAACAAGATATATATATATATGTCGTAACACTTTAGACACCCTGTATATCGTAACGCCTTATTTCACTATGACGCTCTAACAATATGTTCGCTAATGGACAAAGGTTTGTTAAAATTGTACACTTTTTATTTTTATTTTATTAAAAAATTCAAGCTGTACGCAGCTGATGGGAACCAACGAAATAAAATGGATCCAGATTATTCTGCGCCAATGTTTCTTCTTTCTTTGTTCAGATTGATATCAGTTAGAGTACTATTGAAAACGAGGGAGTACTGGACAGTTGTTTCATCCTAGTTTGGGAATCATCAACAGTGGGATTCAAACACAGGACCCAGGAATTATGTTTTTATATGAAAAACATATAGAGCAGAAAATGTCATTAAATAAAGCAAATATAATGATAACTCTTGATTAAAACGAAATCTATCATACGTAGGAGAATAAATATCTTTACATAATCTAATGTAGATATCATTGAACATTGATTCGTTATATTGTTTAAATAATTAATTAACCACTTAATACACTTATTTTTTCAACTGAAATTAAGTCTCAATCAATGTTTGAACGTAGTCAATTAAAACAAACTGAAGATAATGCTGAATTGAATCGATTGAAACAAAGAGAAAGTGAATTAACACATATGAATGCTTTATTAAGACAAGATTTACAACTGAAATCAACAGAGAATGAAAAACTTCAAAAACAAGTATGTGAAAAGAAACTGTTTATACCCTTTTTTTGAAAATAACCTATGCGACGTTTTTAATCAATCGTATACATGATTGTTAACTCGAACCTTATTCTTTAGGGTATTTTTGTGTGACTGATGCTGGCTAGTGACTGGATAAAGGATGGAGTTTTCTGGAGTTTCAGTAGGAAGTCATGACCACCTGAGAGCCATAAGGCTGAGTGTGAGGGCGAATACTCGCCACCGATAATATTGGCTGGTGCCAGTCACAATAAAGTCACGACTTCTCAGAAGTTAGAAGTCGTGGGCGTGCCATTGAGTGGGATCCCAGCGGTTGAATGGTGTTAGAGCTTGGCTTGTAACTGGGAGATCCTGAGTTCAAAACCCAGCGGTCGAGTACTACTGGAGAGTTCCCAAGAAGAGGGAAACAGTTGTTCAGGGGCATTCATTCCTCCTGGTTACTTTCAGTAAGAGATAGAAGAAAGAAACTGCTGTTTTATTCTCCATTGATTACAAAGCCTGGCCATACCTGTTGATGTTTTCAGCCAGTGACTACGGTCATCTTTTGGGTTTCACTCAGGGAGTCGTGACGCAGTAACAAAAACTGACGTACCACAACAACCTCTCACTCTATGGTGCCACTTCATAGACTGATCATCTCTGTGCTTTTTTCATCCAGTTCCAGGGTTAGTAAACAGTGTGGAAGCCGGTGTGATGACAATCGTAGTACATATACAAGCCACCAAAGCCAGTGTTACAAGATGACGACACTTATTGAAAGACTATCCCAACCGTATCTTGTCACACTCTGCCAGATCGTAGAATTGCTTAAGTGACGATGTTATCAGATGCAAGCAATTCCACAGAGGCAGTGATAAACAAACATGCAGAGTTCCTATATATTTTCAGCTTGAAAATAGCAGGCTTCACACACTCAGAGTATCACTGTTTGGATGGAAGCATAATAAACCTAATTCTTGTCGGTCGGACAGATCCAGAGATGGTCTAAGTCATAGTATGCCACCCTGGCCTCCACTATACGGTTAGAGATCTCATCTATCATATCTCTACTAGCAGGCATAGAACTTACCTAGATACACCAATTTATCGAATTATTTTAACGATTCACCTGCCAAAGCGAATGCAAGTAAAAACTCCTGCGAATCTTGCAAAAATGCTTTGCTCTTAAACGGACCAAAGCATAAGCCGTACTTACAGAAACTTATCACCGACTGATGAAACGCATCAATCTTAGGTGTACCATGAATGTAAATTTCAAATTTGATGGCACACTTTACAGCCAAGTGGACTGAGTGGCGATGGGCTCCCCATCGGGTTTCATTTTGGCTGATTTCTTTTTAAGTAAGCTAGCAAATGGACCTTTGAACAACCATATCAGTAAGCTCTCATTTTATTGCCGATATATGGATGACACCTTCATTCTTTGTGATAATGATTCGGATAAAAACACAAGAACAAGAAGCCTTTATACATACGACTGCAATTCAAGGGTGATTTAACAAGTGAAATAATTACGAAAAAATTAAGAAAGTCAGTTCAAAGAACTTCTAATGCTGGTGAACTGCACGTCTTATTCTCCACACGACTGACGATGATTCCTAAACTGAAACATAAAGTACCTAGACTAGACTAGCCTCTTCCAATTAAATCTATCGATTCAACTGCACTTGTGATGGAGCGAGTTATAATGGTTGTTGCTCTAGGAACTTGATTTTTCGTGCTCACTCGGGAATGTCTTCCAGTGTGGTTAAATATTTAAAGGTATAGTGAAAACCATCAACTGTTCGATATCAGATCACCCAGTCCAAACCGGCCACAAAGTCAGCCAGGATTGAAGAATCCTTCTCTTTCATCTACCAGGTGTCAAATAAATTTCCAAAAATATCTAGGTACTGTAAACTCCAAACAGCAGAGGCTATCTTGATTCGCATGAAACAACCAGTGCTTTGTATGCAAGAGAAGCAAGTCCAATCAGCCAATACTACTGCTCTGGCCTTCTTCAGTAGAGACTGTGAATTTGTATTATTATCTCTCCTATATTTTCTGATATTCAGTATGTATTGTTACATTGATGCTAATGAACTGTAATCTGTCGATATTACTGATTCGATTTTATTTAAACAACATTAATGTTGGGCATTTTTAATCATTCAGTCATTATTATTTTTATTATTATTGTTTCCTTGGGTTCCTAGTGGAACATGGGGGTTCAACTGCACGTCTCCTCTTGCTTCTGTCTTCTTCTGTACTTTTCACCTGCATCCATGTTAGTTCATACTGTTTCAACTCCTCTTTACAAGATCTCCTTCATGTCACCCTCGTACTGACGTCCTAATTCCCGCTTCCCTTTCGCCGGTTCCACTCGAGCAATGGCCTGACGCGCGCAGGATGTCACCCAGTGGCCTCCTCAGAGAGCCAGTGTTCAATCCATCTGCACTTTCTCCTGCATATTTGTTAACAGGCGATTGGTTGGTTCTTGTTTTGTTTGTTCCCAGCAATATTTCCTTGTTGGTGATTCTTTCCGGCCCGGCCATCTGATCTTCAGTATAGATCCAGCGAAGACGGTTAGTTGTTGATAAAGGTCTGCTCTGCAACAGGCTGTTGGAAATATCCTTTGTGACCCGCCCGCCAAGTTTCTGATCCGTATAGAAGAACTGACTGACTTGACGTTGTTTGTATTGAAAATCCCACCGAATTTTGTTGTTGATGCTGACTGAGTGACGAAGATTTCCAGATTGGTTTCAGGTTGATGAATAATGTGTTTCTCGCCTTCCCGACTCTCGCTCGATTTGACATCCTCGTCTGTTCCTCCTCCTGTGGTGTGAATCTCCACTGAATAAGTTGGTTAAAACATGTGCGTTGTGCTTACCGCACCACTCACTATCTTACTTGATTGAAAATATTAACCGACTTATGATTAGGTTGAAAAGGAATGAAAGCAGAGAGAGACAGAAAGAGAGCAAGTCGCATACAATTAGCTACTTATCTCTCAATCTTTAGCTTATAGGGTGGATTCCCACTTTATCTGTAAATTGTTGAGTTATTATCTGACATTCTTAGCCCTGTCAACACAATTTAATTTCATCCTCAGTTGTGCATAAATACTACTGGTTGCTGAGAGTAAAACACGACTTCACTGACAGACGAGTCAGAGAAGCGCGCTGATGTATGTTGCCTGAATGAGACCTTAGGGATAGTGAGAATCTTAGTGATTTAAATACTCGCGTCTACATGCCTCAGAACCATTCACAATGGCATATACGATGTTTCAGATTATTAGTACTTGAACAAAGACAGGATCCTAAAACAATTACAGCATTAAAATAGCATATAATGGTCGCGCTAAAATCACGAATTGGTAAAAGTTGGAATTCATGGGTGGGGCATTGATATGGATCCCAGTGGCTAAATGGTGTACAAGCTTGGCTTTTAACTGATAGGTCCTGGATTCGAACCCTGACCGTGGGCGCCTACTGCTGAAAAGTCCCAAACTAGGATGAAACAACTGCGCAGCACTCCCAGCTTTTACAGTGGTTCTCTAACTGATTTCATCTCATGATGAAACTTGAAATAATTCTTAGTAAGATGAGGACAGCAGCTAAACAATTCAAGGTTGTCTGAACAGATGAACCTGGTGATTTTTCAAAATACTACAGATTCTTATTTTCTTGGATTTTCGAGTACTTTTATGGTAAGAGCTGTCTGTTAGCCAAAAATGTAAGCAACAATTGACGTCAGTGTTTACGTCTCGAATCGGGGTCATGAGAAAAAAAACAATAACAAAGCTTAACCTTCAGGTACACATCAACCAATCACAGAAGATTTAAGGTGTACAAATACGATTGGCAGATATCTTCAAAATGCAGACTAAAAAGACAATTGCAAGTTAGCAGAATATTAAAAGGTCGAAGGAGCATCATCTACACAACAACAAAAGAGAAGACGTTTGCCGAAAAGAGTCTCTTCGCTGAACGTCTTCACTTTTTCACAACAACAAATGACATGCTATAAGGATTCTGAAGAAATCGCCATATAATCACTAAATGCGAATGCAATACATTCACTTTTAGATAAAGTAGCACTAAATATAGCGTATCTTGACTGATGTCAAAACGTCTGTCAATAAAATCTTAGGCTCAAAAAGTATTGAAACTACTGAAAGAATTTCGCAAAAACTTTTCAAAATGTATATTATAACGACAAAAGACAAGGAACAGGCAACAGATCCTTTATTGAGAAAACCAAGAGGTATTTATATATTTTTATTTACATTATTATTAGAGTTACTAGTAGCTGAGAGGTAACGTCTTCTGATTGGTCGTTTTCTTGCTCAAGTTTATTCTATCATCTCTTTTGTGGCAGTTTCTCAGAAAGTTGAGCCATATATCTACGAATCGCATTTGCACACGTTAAGTAAATGCTATGATTGGTCGGTGAGTTCATCATGGTTAAACCTTGTTCTTGTTTATTCTCATGACGCCGAATCGGGACATAAACATTGACGTAAATTGTTGTCTGTAAATTTTGGCTTGTAGATAGCTCTCACCACAATATTACATCAGAGAGTGAGTATCAATTAAAACAAAATTTCAGTCACATAAATTATTACTATTATGAGTATTACATTTTTTGATTGTGTGTATGTGTGTGTCTTTCCCATCTATTTTTTCAGCTTTTATATCAAGAAAAGACTTACGATAATTTATTATCAGGTAAATTAATACAACCAAATATAACTCAAGAATTGGAAGCTTTAAAAACTGAACGTCAATTGTTCGCAGATCATATAAAGAAGATTAATGAAGAGGTTAGTAATAAGCTATGTAGAACATTATTTATCATTATTATTATTATTATTGTATCCTTTAATTCCTAGAGAAACATAGGGCTTCAATTGTATCAGGGCCTTTGTTGCCGTTGGTGACATCATGATAGTCATGCCCTCGGTCTGCGTATGGTTATCTTCTGGGTGACCAGAGTAGATCACTGACTCACCCATTGACAATTTGATGAGTTTATTCCCGTTCCATCTGCTTTCACATATTCCCAGTACTTGGATTCCGTATCTTTTCATCTCGTTTGCGATTTGGGCAGCTTTGCCAATCTCGTACATAGTGCGGACGTTCCATGTCCCCACACAGACTTTTTATTTTGGCGCAAAGAGATTCATCGTGCTGAAGTTTCTGTAGCAACTTTGTTGCAAGCCTCACGAAAAGAATTGTTACATTAAGATAAAGTTTAGAGAGAAGCGACCTTTTGGATTGCTCCCCTTAAAATCGGAAAACAAGGAATAAAACGATCAGGACGACACCAGCAAAAGGAAAATAATTCACACCGAAAAGGGCAACAAGCGACAACAACAATACAATACAACAACATGCAATATAGTTAAGCAGAGTTAACTAAAATGATACCAAAACCATAGACTCACTGACTTGGGCCAACTTGAACATATAAATCCAACAATATATACAATTACAGATATGAGTTAGTGTTAAAAGGTCACAAAATGTCAAAGAGTTTGTTATAGGTATTAGTAGTCAACAATATTATATCCACAGGTTTAGTGTTCGAAAGTAAACGGACTGCAATAATTTCCAGAACTTCGTGGTGATATACAACAAAGAAATAAGAGTTTTACGTATCTAAGCAAAATGTGACGCACTAATCGAAAAGTGCGCCAATCTTCGCCTATGTGGAACAACTGCATAGATAAACAATTTTCTTATTACGGATTTCTTTTTCGATCAATAAAATGGTTTCTGCGTTGAAGCAATAAAAGAGGTAATGTGAAATAGTAGGATAAAGTTAACTTATGGTAGATATTATGTGAATAACCTACGGAAATGATCTTAATTAACCAACCAAAGTAGAGACTTTTCAGAAACAACGAAAAATCGAATTTCCCGTTCACTTAAGAAAACCTTCCATTATGGGTAAATTTTTGTTTTGATAAAGTCTCACAATGTTATACAGTAATGTTTACTGATGACGTTTCGAGCATAATTTATTGCCCCTCATAATCATATCATGGTAATCACACGACTTTCTAACTTCATTTATATAATTCCATCATTATTTTCCATCGCTTGATTTGATTGGCAGTAGTATTTTCCATATTTCTGGTATAAGTGATGAGTCATTCCTATTGCATGTGTTTGGTGTTGACTCGATGAACCAGATAGGATTCAGTAATCAACCTCTCTCTCCAGCTATTTAGATTACTTTTTAGAATTTTAACCCTCTCCCACTCACCCTATTGTGTGGTTGTGTGTTAATGCATGCATTGCAATTGCTGAGCTTTTTTCTAAATTACTTATCTTTTCAGGGTCAACCATTCTTACCTTAGCTAAATTCTTATGTTCCGCCAATCTGACTACCCCTGACCTACTAGTTTGACCTATGTAGTTGACCTAACTCACAGTCATTGCATGGTATTTTGTAAATAATATTATTTTGTCTAATTGGGTCAACTGGATCCTTTAACCTATACAGCTTGTCCTACCTGAGTGAGTTTGTAGGTTTAAATGCCACCCTAATTCCTGCTTTATTCAGAATTCTACGTAGGGTTTCAGATGTCCCCTCTTTATATGGTATAACTGTAGATGACTTATATTCTCTCTTATTTATGTTATTATTAATAGTTTCACAATTATTTTTATTTTGTTTTTGGCCTTTTATGATCTTCCTAATGAATTTTACAGGATAGTTAGTTATTTAACACCAAAGCCTCTACTATCTGTTTTAGTTCATCATTTAGGTCTTTTCTTGTGCTACTTAGTGCTACTGCTCGGTTTGTTAAACACTTAACTAAGCTTGCCTTAACAGTTGACGGATGAGATGAATTAAAGTCTAAGTATCTATTAGAATGAGTTGGTTTCCTGTACACACTAGTGTGTAGTTTACCTTCTTCTATTCGTTTTATTTTACAATCTAACATCGTAGTAAATTCTCATTGTTCATTTCCCGCTTCAAATGTGAATTTTATTCCCTCCACTGGTGAGTTTATATGTGTGAAGAAGCTAGAGATGTGTTATGTTTTTAACACTGTGAAAGTGTCATCCACATATCTCCACTATATTTTTGGATTAGGGTTAAATGTATTGAGGGCACTATTTTCCCAGCTGTCCATAAATATGTCTGCTACGAAAGGGGATATTGGTGATCGCATTGCTACACCTTATGTTTGTCTATATATTTTACCTCGGAATTTAAAGATTGTAGATGTGAGGTAGCATAATTGAATTCCTAAAATAATTTCTTCAATGGGCAGCTTTGTCCTATGATTGAGTTCCGGATCCGCAGTTAGTTCTTTTTTAACTGCTTCTAAGGCTATATTGACTGGTATATTAGTATAAAGACTACTTTTATAAAAAATAACCATTTTTTCATCATTCTCTAGTTGAATGTCGTTTAGTTTATTTTTCATCTCATATGAATTAGTTAGTCTAGAGTTTGAACGATTTCTAATGGGGCATAATATTAGAGCTAAGTGTTTCGATAATTCATAAGTAGGGGTATTTCTAAAATCTACTATTGGTAGTATGGGGTAACCTGGTTTATGTATTTTAATAGTACCATATATTCTACTAGCATTATTAGTTTTAGGCATTAAATTAAACCATTTTGACTCACCCAGTGACAGCTTCATTCTGCGTATTAGTTCCGCTGTAGATTTCTTAACCTTATTCATTATTGTGTCTACAGGCTTCTTAATTTCTTCATATGGACCCGTTTGAATATGTTCAGTAACTTTTTGATATAGTCAGATTTATAATGGAGGATTTTGTATTCATTGGGAAATACAAAAACCTCTATTATAATGAATATCATATACCCAATGCCCAAATTTTTTTCAAACCGTTAAAAGTGAACTTGGTTTGGACATATATAATAGTCAGATTTATTCAAAACTACAGTGGCGTTTCCTTTGTCAGCTTTTGCGATCACAATATTTTTATCCTGTTTTAGACTAATTAAAGCTTCTCTTTCCGATTTTGTTAAGTTTGATTTTGTTTTCTTTTGATTTTTCAGGGTCAATGCACTTTGTGCTCGAACCTCTTCTGCTGTTGTCTTATCTTGCTTTTCCGATTCTGGTATTGATATCCTCATCAGTTCTGCCTGTAGTTGAAACGATGCTTCCCAGTTAGGTAAAGGAGGTTGTTTCTTTCAGATTCCTCCCATTTGTGCTGGCTGATTGTTGTCTGTTGCTGTTGGTCAGGAGTCTTTATCACCTCTGTTTTCTCTATGCTCGCCTGAAGTCCTATCTTCCCCGGATGCTTGTTCTGCCTGCTTGTTGCTTTTCACTTGCATATCTTCCAGTTTGTGGGAAATCAGACATAACTGTGTCATCGGCGAAGCCCAGATCCTCCAAGATTTTGTGTGAGTCCATTTCATGCCTGTTAGGAAACATTGCCCGTTGTCTGTCGCATTATACAATCTACTGCAATCAGGAAGATCATTGGGTATAGTAGACAGTCATACCTCACTCCCGTCCTCAGTTCTAAGGATTCCGTAAGTTTCCGTTGTGGATTACTTGGCATGTAGTATTGTCGTATAACTGTTGGATAAGATGTATAAATGTCGGTGGCACGCCGTAGTCACAAAGTAGTTGCCAAATCACCTCTCGATCGACGCTGTGGAAGGCCTTTTCAAAGTCGATGAAGTTGAGATAGAGAGAGTTGTGACTGCCATTCCAAGCTTTGTTCAATGATGATCCATAGTGTGGTGATTTGATCAATACATGACTTGTTTCTCCTGAATCCAGCTTGTTCCAGTCGAAGTTTTTCATCCAGGTTGGCTTATTTGATTCTCTACAGGATGATGCACATTCTTTTATAGATAAGATTTTATTTTGACAAATCACAGTTTTGTAATACAGTAATATTAACTGATGACGTTTCAAGCACAAAGTATTACTCATAATCATATCAAGTTATATCAGTTAATATTCCTGTACAACAATGTTTGATTCATCAACATAAAATCTTATCTAATAATGGAGTTATACTCTACCACAGTGCCCAAGTTTTATACTTTTTTTATTTTTTATTTTATTTTTTTTATTTTTTGATTACAGCTTGATTCCACACCGTATTTTTGGTACAAGTGTGGAATTTTCAGCGTGGATATCGGTAGCCCAAAATTCGCAGGCCGACCATAGATATCGGGTGTGCGTCGGCGTGGGGTCGAACCCCGGACCATGTGCATGGTCGGCGAGAGTCCTAACCACTGTGCCACCGACGTACTTATATCAGATAGCATTCTAGTTTGATCACTAAATGAAAACCAGAAATGAGTACTGGACAGCTGTCTCATTCTAGTCCGGGACTCTTCATCAGGACGCGCCTAAGAGGATCTTCTGGTTACAAGACATGGTACTGCAACCCGATTCAGTGGTCTATGGAGTGCAGCTTCTACCAATCTGTGATTTTAGCTCTATCATCAGCAAACGTCATTGGTGGGTATTTGAACTCACTGCCGACCAGGTGAACCCCACTGGTCACGATTTCGCAACAGAGCTTCAGACAGCTCTGTCCTGTCGGCATTCACTAGTGAGCATCAGACTAAATTTCAAGAATCAGTTCGTCTTGGGTCCTGGGTCCAAACCTCACTGTGTGTGTGTGCACTGCCGAAGAGTTTCAAGCCAGGACGAAACAGTTGTCTAGTACTCTCTGGTTTTCAGTGGTTATCTAACTGGCATCAATCTATGACAAGATCTGAAACAAATCAAATATTTGATCTATATAAATACAAACCAGTTCTTGAAAGTAGTATTCTGTCCTCCAACCTCCCCTAAAATACTTC